TGGGCACCGTAGCCAGCCCGTGCCCCTTTAAGGGCTCCGGGGCCGGGAGGGGGGCAGACGAGTTTCCCTAGTGTTGGCCAGAGTGGGCTAGCCTCCCACTAGTTCGAATTAAGGGGCTACACACCCTTTAATTCGAACTAGTAAGTTCGAACTAGGCTTAATCCTTGTGGAATGAGGATTACCTAGTTCGAACTAAGCGCTCCGTTAGTTCGAATTAAATTCGAACTAACGGAGCGCTAGTGTAGCGCCTATGAAAGTTAGTTCGAACTAACGTCCATTAGTTCGAACTAACTTTGTAGTGTAGACATACCCTAAGAGACAATGGATGCCCGTGGCATGTGTACATGAACCAAGGATCTACAGGTGAGGGAAGGGCCAGGAAGGTTGCCAAAGGGACCGATAGCATGATCGTGGGTCAGCTTGTTGGCACTGAGGACCTTTGTATTGCAATGACAGGAGAAGGAGAGAAGCCAGATCAATGATATTCTCCTGGTCACTGTCAGATTCATCACTGGGTAAGGCTGGCACTGACCAAGGTATTGATGACTCAGCCTGGGGCCGAGGATGATTGCAGACACCAGGGTATGCGCGGTACGAGGATCCCGTTACCAAGTAATGGGGACTGCGGTTCGTCACTGACGGTCCCTCAGTACTGTGGAGAGTGGCTGTGGTACACTGTTGGTACCAATGGTTGTGAAGGTGCAGAGCACTCCCTAGAGGGGAGTTTTGTCGCATTTGCGAACAAGGTTAAACCAGTGCCACTCCTTTAGAGACAATATGGCATTTATCTTTCTCCCCTGGCTTCTCTAGGTGGTGTGGCCAAGCTCTCAGAAAACCAGTTGCTTCTGGGTACAGTACTTCAGAGCTGCCAGTACTGAGGTGGCTAATTACACGGGGGACACCCTTTGATAGGCTGTCTTTGGGGGCTTGAAGCCCTTTTCCCTCAAGCTTTTATGGGAGGTAACTGCTGCTTTTCCCCCACATCTGAAGCTGAAGTTTCCAGGGAGGATTCAGTCAACATTGGAGTCTCCTGATAGCTAAAGTGCCTCCTCCATAAGGAGGACTTGTAACTTAAGCTCCCAGTTCTTGTGAGACCTCTGCTTTAGCAGAGGGAGCACTTCTGAGGGATATGAGACCGGACATCATGAGAGAGTTGTCCATTACAGGAACCAAGTCCTTGCAGGAGAGGCACTTGTTGAAGCTGGGAAAGCCCGGCATTCCCGGAGCTGGGGGTTTGCCCACGCAACACTAGATGGCCTTGGAGGTAGACTACATGTGCGGGATGAATGGACCCCTGGTATCTAAAATCTCTGATTATAGGTGAAGGGATGCAGATACACTTACAGTGGAACACCCCTAGGGACACTACTCAAACAAGAATAGTTGCAGAATGGCTATCAGCTGTTGCATTCGCTAACCTTTTGCATGGGGCTTCCAACCCTTCCAGCTTTCACTAGATCTCCCACCGGAGCATGGGGATGAGGATCTGACCTTCTGTACAGCAGTGACACTAATTATTTATAAAACACATGCATGAATTACAGCAGTATGACAAAAGGAGATGGAAATACTAAAGCCTCTAAACACAGTGCTTTATAATGGATAAGTAACTCACACCAAATTGAAGTAGATAAAGTCCTGGTTTTGACTTAGCTCTTGCTGCATTATACATTCCTCCTTCCTCTCATCCCTTATTTCATCTGCATACTACAACCTGGATAATGGGCTTTGCTTTCATTAATACTTCTCTAAGTTTTGTGAGCCCATAAATGCAAGAAAAATCTTGGTACCCAGGTCACGGAATTCTTAAATCCCTCCCTTGCTATTAAATGACAAGCCTGGGCTGCCTCCTTAACCTCAGAGCTGGTAACACCCACTGTTACAGAGAAGCCTCATCCTCTGATCAGGGATCATCAGTAAAGCTGGATCCTTAGGTTCCATAGGTGACATCTCACCTCACCTGGACAGGCTCAGGGAGGAAGGGTATTTCCTGTGGACAATCCTCGATGGCCTATTGTCTTTGTGCCCATAATGAGAGTGCCCTCTATTCTCATGGGGCATCCTACAAGAAGAGTTCTTGAGTTTAGATGCTGAAAGCTCCACTCCAAAGCAGGAGCTTGGAGGAGGACCGATGGTCAGCTGAAGCTGATGTCAGGCAGTCTCTGTAGACTGAATAAGAGAGAGGCCACATTCTTCCTCAGGTGCTTAAATGAAGCTCACAGGCTTCTCGAGTTCTGGGTGGGAAGGAGTGACAGATCCTGCACTTGGCAGAGATTTGTCCCTTACCCAGACTGAACATCAGTGATGCCTGTACTCTCTCATGGAAAAAGGAGCAAGAGTCAGCGATGGAATTCTTGAATCCTGGGAGCACAGACACAGAGCTGGGGAGGCAATTCCCCAGCCAGGGGAAAAGAAATACTCCATGCTAACTATAAAATTGAATTACTAAGCTTTAAATATTGTCTTTCTTTGCAGGTTGTACAACTGAGCAATAGAAGACATGATTCTGACTCAGACCATGTGGTAGTAAGAAGGAACTAGAGAAGTGTTGACCTGCACTGCCTCTTTTGCACCCTCAATCAAGAGCATGAAGAGAACTATGTGCATATGGGCAGGCCAATGGAAATTGATTTGAAGAATTTCCAGACTCAAGTGCACATTGCGAATCTATACCCACATATGGAATATGCACAGGGACCAGCACACAAAGAACAGCAGGCCCTCCTACTCTGAAGTCGCTATAATAATTGACTATGAATTTTTCCCTGCGGAACAATACAAATACTTGTGTATTTTCAGTTTCTCCATTAGCAGATTTACCTCCATTGGGCAATGATAGCACTAACTGATTGTCAGGTGTTGAATCCATTGATCGTCCATTTTGGTTTCCTGGTGTTTCTCTTGCATTGTAAGGTGGGGGTGGTGTTTCAACTAAAAAACAGAAAGACACTGAGATCAGCAAGTTGGTAAAGTCTACCCAGATGTGCCTGGTCATTCTTCAACTCTACTTCAGTATAGTTTAACTGGAGAAGGATCCACACGAGAACCTGAGTCTGAACTTCTGTCCTCCTCAAACTCCAGCTCAAGACTGTTTCAGATTCAAATCCCCGGAGAGGAAACTGTCCCTATGGTTTAGGCTCTGGATTGGGTCCAAAGGCAGAAGGGTCCTAATTTCCAGATATGGTTTGGATGTGGCCCAAGATTATAGAAGTTTCAACTTTGATTTTGGCACTAGTCAGTTTGCACCCAATCTCCTAGGAAAGAGACTGGCATCCATCCTAAGGGTGGAGTTCCATAAATAGGCTCCTTGAACCCAGCCCACTTCACATGCAATCCTGGTGTGGATGGTGAGCAAAGACACACTAGCTGACCTCAACTGCCTGGACAGGAAGAGAGACAGCCACACACAGGCCTATATTAATATACAGGCAGCAAGCCCTGGACATGAATCAGATGCACTATAAGCACAGTGCGGAAGGCAGGCATTACTACCTGCCTTGCCCCTGTGCCGTGAAGCGAAGAGAGCCGTAGCATTCTGCAAACATGGCAGCCTCTGGATCAGATTCAAGCAAAGATTAATCAGGACTGAATTACAAGTCTAGCGTGGAGATGAGGAATGTGGGTGTAACCATTGTGAGTTCTGCTTTAGAATGAACCGGGCTCTTTCCAGGGCTAGAGATAGCCACTACGAAGTGCTGTTGTACTATTTATGAATTTCCATGCTGGAAAGCAATACAGAAGCACCCCAATTCTCCTGACCTGCCCCCAAGTGGTGACTTTGCCCTGGGCATAACAGAGGTGCATGAAGCATTCACAAATGCTTGAAAAGGAGGTGGTGCCTGAAACATCATGTAAGTTTTATTCTGAGTGAGTTTCAGCCAACTGTCCCTTCCCATCCAAAAAAATCCATCTGTAAAACAGCCAAGAGATAGTTACAGCAGGACAACAGGAAAGAAGGCACAGAGGTAAAAGACCATAGTGTTATTGGAGATCCCAGTCTCCCATCAGGCTCACACATATTCAACAACTGAAGGAACAAAAGAGCATAGTAGGGAAACTGGACAACAGTATGTACCCCAAGCTTTTGGAAACTCTCTTTTACAAGGCAATTCAGTGACAAAAAAGAGTCATGGCAGTATCCATACCTATCACAGACCACAGCTAGCCCACCAGCATCTGATGATCGGACTAACATAAGCAGCAGAGAGCAACCACCCTTGTCCCTTACTGGCAGATCTTCTACCATGTTAATAATCAGAACTGTCTGGGTCATGAAATGGTCTGGATCTAGATGTGCAAAGATATTTTTAAACAAAAATGATCTAATGCCCATTGTCCTTTGCAGAATAAATATTTTAGAACAGAAGCTGCAGTTCCACACATGTAAGTGCAGATAGAGTTTGGCCCATCAAACATTTGACCACTTCTATTAGCACCTTCCCTCTAGCCTTAGCCAGCCAAGAAGCTATGGCACTGGCAGCTGACTACCAATGCCAGCCTGCTTCTCGGAAAGGGAGAGGCTGATGCTTATGCAGGACAGATGAAGTATTCATCTTCTCATACTCTAGGGAGGGCTAACTCTCTTTTAATCTCACCAATCTTCTTGTCAAAGGACCATACACACTAATGAAAAGTAAACAAATGAATTTGCAGAACAGCCCTCCTAATTCCTGAATTGTTTTATTTATAGAACAGCAGCCTAGGAACAGCAAGACATATCCTCCATTCTAATATACACCAAGAAGGAACAGAGTGTGTTAGAAAGCTGAAATGAAGACCTTGTTTTCCCGTGAGGAAAAAAAACCAAACAGATATAGATTTTGATCCTGCAAACACTGAAGCACGGGAGTAAAATTTACTCATGGGAGTAGTAATGCAATGGGACTATAAGCAGGTAAACACCTGTGGAACTTTACATGTCTGTTGGACTAATAAGAGTATCTAAGCTGAAATTCCCCCGTGTAGAGAGACAGCAAAAGATATCTGTGTTGGCATGTCTTGGCATGATAAATGGACATGGGCGAGAGTTGATTTATTGGGAAGACAGGGTTAGAAAGGTAAACAGATCAGCAGGCTGGAAACAGCAAGTCTACACTGGCCAAGATAAGGGGGAAAACACCCAGGCAACCATTTACTATGTACAAGTTAAGTTGGAAACATGAAGATGGGGTAAAGAATAAGTTGTCCATGGACAAAGCATGCTGTACAGGGACTGGTTCCTATAAAGTGAACAAGCCAATCCCAAAACAGGTATCGTGAAGTATGGTAAATATAATGTAATCTGTACATGTCTATAAAGGAAAGTTTTCAGTGTAACTTTGGATGTGTTGTACACTCTCTACCAACCCCTCCACTTGAGTCTGATTGACTCAGCATAGCTTTGCTGTATGCCAAAAACAAAAAAGGAACCTAAGTGACATGACTGGAGTCGAACTGAGTTATTGGAGAACCCCAATACTATGCACAACTTAAAACTCTAATTTCCACTTACATTCTCAAAATAAGTGGTGCAAGGGCATTGGGTATCCAGCCACACAGGATGAATTCACCTAGAGCAGATAACTACAGACTAACTTGTAACATGACCACAAGACTGGCAAAACAGAAAGTGCTGCAGTAGCCAGACTGATGTCATTATTATGCATATTTCAGCAGTGCCCAGGACCAGAGCAACAGATAGAAAGTAGGATCCAGGCATCAGAGCAGAGGAAGCACCTCTGGGACACACCTGAGGCTGTTGATTATCCACTTGCTGGCTCTGGTGGTTTCTTCTGTGCTGTTGCTGCTGCCTGGATCCTCTCCCATGTCTGTTGGACAGCAGCAGTGCTGAGGAAATATCTGGAGCCAGCAAGTGGACAGTTAACACACTGCTAGCAACAAGGAACCAGCCACAAGTAGAGGGGGGCTACTGGAAGGCCACAAGGGGAGCAAGGATAATGGTGGGTCCTCAAAAGAAACAAATTGCAGTTGGTGGTAGCCTTAGTAAAAAGTTTGGGAACCAATGTGTTAAGCACTGTACAAACACATCACTAAGTTGTTTTGAGTAGCTTACAATCTAATTTGTGGAAAGACACGAGAAGTAATGACAACGAAAAGGAAGGAAGGGGGAAGGGAACCTGAGGGTTATTAAAAAAGGGTCATGCGGTTACCCATATAGCTATTGCATATCTTGGAGGTTTCTGACATTACCACAGTCTTTTTAATATTAAATAAAGTCAGCTCTCCCCAACAATCACAATCAAATAATTTTGTCTCCAATTCAAAATCACGTATGCTCTGATGTGCTAAAAATGCAGATTAAGCCACTTTCAGGTGGTTTTACAAGTTTCCAGGATCTACTGAATTGGGAGGACATAGTAATTTATAATTGGCCCGATCTTTCTAGAGCATGAGTATAAATCAGGAGCAGCTCCTTTGAAGTCAACAGTCATTAAGGTGTAAAATCATAATGAGTGAGAAGAGAGGCCCTAATTGTACTCCCAGAATGAGAGGATGTATCAGTGAGGTTATGGAATATAAGGTAAAATGATTAAAGATGCAAAAAAGAAATGATAGAAAAGGTAGGAAAACAAAATCTTTCTAAGTCCATAGTGTCAGAACAGATAGTATGAACATTTATAACTGGAGCAGAGCCTGAACCAAGATTTCTGTAGTAATGTTAATTTGGAGTTGTTTTGCATGGCATATGCTGAACACCACAAGTAATGATATATTCTTAGAAACTTTAAATAAATAAAAGGTTCACAATATGTGCAACACAAATGAGTGAAATTCACAAAGAAGGGAACTTTGGAACGGACTCAGCACTCTCTGAAGTCAATGGAATTCTTTCCATCATCTGCAATGGGTGCTGGATCAAATCAGTTGCATTTTTTCATCTCCTGAATTAAAACTTTCTACTCATGAATTTCAAGTGACATCAACAGAAGTCGTTATCGTTTAATTGTCCTGGTTTTCCTCCTCTCCCACAGAAAAGTCCAAAACTATTGAATTTGGGGAGTTCACAAGCTCCACTGACTTTCCTGCTGGAATTTCTAAGCTCCTTGAGAGCTTGGTTTGCCCAGAGCTCACAGATTGTATTAAAGGAGATCCTCATTCAATTTCTTTTTTATCTATTGATCCTCCTGACACAACATGTCTATTCTTTGCTTCAGCCTCCAAACACAAAAGCCAGATCTCCTCCTACACAAAAGCTGCTGCACAGCTAGGCGTTCGGAGACCACTGTTACCTCTTACCCGTGTGTTGATATGGGCTTCCTGGTCCAGAAGAACTTCCTGGGGAGTTGGGGTAACTGATGCTGCTGGGTGACTGAGAGAACATGTTACTGGGTGATGATGGAAAAGGGGTGCAGGGAGTCTGCTGGAAAGAATCAGGATAAGTGGCATTATGTGGCATCAGAGGCTCACTGTGGAGGGAAGCACTCCGGAACTTGGCAAGGAGGCTGAGGTGCGGGTTAAACTCACTGTGTCTTGGAACCAATACTGGAGGCAACACTGAAAATAAAAACAAGAGAGTGTGTGTTTTAGCCAAGCGCCCACCCTAGTATGCTGTATCTCTTTCTGCATCTGAGTGATACACCGCACTACCAAAACATCACTCCACACATATTATTCTCTGAATGCTGCTCTGAATGTGTTACATGTTTTAAACGCTCTGTACCATTGTCCTCACAGTTTTTTGTTGCTATTGAATAAGAATAGGTTACAACTCAGTCCAGCCATAACCCTTCTTTGAAGCTAGAGGAGAATACATCTGCCCAGCAGCTGAGGATTCCTCTTTCTTCAGCAGCAGCATTAGATGACTTATACAATATGACCAAGTTTTCAGATAGCAGACCCGCTTCTGCAGCTGCTACATGAACAAAACTTCTATATTCTTCAACAAGGAAAGACAGTTTGCATGCACACCTACCCTCTACCCCTAAAATAATGGAAGTGGTAAATTTATACTCATTAAAATTACAACTCCCACAATCTGTTTTCCGGGATGCTAAAGAAGTCAGAGATATATTCAATACTCTTGATAAACAGGATTTGTCAAACTCGGAACCCACTTTAAATAGATAAATAGGCACTTTTCATATGAGGTGTTGACTAGGATTTTCCTATAGCATTCCTTTCAGGTCAATTAATGTATTTGTTCTGGTATTTCAACCCCAGTTCAGAGAATCAGGCGAGTGAAGGTGCTCAGGATGGAATTCATGTAAAAACAGCAGAAAGACAGACTTGGATAGATATGGTTGCCAACTTCATAGCAGAATCATGACTACAGCTTAAAAGCCTGAAATAACCCTTTATGCACCCTAGTCTAAGGACTAACCCTATTAACAAGGGTGAAAATTAACTTCTATTGCTGTTTCAAAGGAAAGAGCTGTGTATGTTTTGTATTTAATCATTGCAAATTGTCAATTAATTTTCCATTTAAGAGATTTATATGGATGTAAGTCTGTCACTTTTATTTGACTTTCTTGTTTCATTTCATTCTCTTGCCTTTTCTGTGAAAAATGGGTATGTGGTATTGCCTGTCTGTAACATCTGTTGTTTTCAAAATCTTCTCTCTCTCTCTCGTCATACTGTACCCTCTTTTTCTCCCCCTTCCCTCTGAAGTTGTTTCTTCTGTCTTCTCCCCATCTCTCGTTCAACATCATATTGCTCTTGTATAACCTTCTAGCCCATCAGCCTTTTTCTGTCTCCTGACTCCCCAGCCCCCAACACTCTCACCCGCCCACTGGTACACAACACTGTATTCACTGTCCCAAGGCAATGCCCAAGAGAAAAGCCATCACCTCAACTACTGGGAAACAGGAAAGGCACTCGGATTCCTATTGGTGCTGTCCATAAGTCTATTCTAGGATTCCATCTGTCTAATATGCCGCTTACCTGAATGCATTTGATAAACTGGAACCCTTCCACCACATACCAAACCCTTCTGGTTGCTGGGAAGAAGGAAGAATATTTTTTCCTGTTTCTCTGTCCTGGTTGCTAGGAGTACCCGTGGGTGGTGAATCTCCTGATTATAATAGGCTGGGAGGGGTGTGTGTGTCTCTTAGATGCTGCGGTTTAATATTTGTCTTTCTCCAGTAAACAGTTTCAGGGCTTGATGCTGCTGCTCTTTAGGATTTCCTCAAGCAGCAGCATGAAACTGCCCTGACTTTTCCAGGCAGCCCAAGGGTTCAGAACTGCCACAGGGGATGGCTATGCTCAGTTTTCATTCTCCTGTAGGTTGTGAAAACTCTGAGCAGGAGCAGTGTAAGCTTAGGAAGCTAGCACTGCATCATTTGTGTTCTCTTTATATTTGGAAGAGACTAGTAGCACTTTAAAGACTAACAAAACATGTAGATGGTATCATGAGCTTTGATAGGCACAGTCCACTTCTTCAGATGACTGGAGTATTAATGATACCATCACAGGTTTTGTTAGTCTTTAAGGTGCTACTAGACAATTTGTTGTTTTTTACGTTTTTCCAGTTACAGACTAACTTGGCATCCTTCTGAAGTTTTTATATTTGGAAGATTTGCTTTGTTCCATGAGCTCGATAAACCCGGCTTGCTATGACTGGTACCTACACACTTTTCCTCCCATGCACTGCTTCTGCCACATCATTCCATATTTCTGCTGCCTGCACCTTACTGTAGCTAATGGAGTAGAAGGGAAGGTGGAGGATTATTGATTGTGGTCAGTGCATCTCCAGAGGTTCCTTATTCTCCTCCTTTGCCTGCAGAGGCTGTTCTCTGATACCTAAGAGGTGTCCATGCTGGAGACAGGGTGACCAGAGGTATGACACAGAAATAATGCAGGACGCCCCTCACCCTGGTATGCAGGAGTGATTTACTTAAATCATCTCTACTCTCCGCTGTCCCTTTCCCCCACTTTTTGTCCTGTATCTGTTGCTGGCCCTGGGGGCGGGGAGGTGTATCATTCTTCCTGCTCATACATGAGTGTGACAGTGTGCCCCTGGCACAGCTGGAGACTTATGGGGTGATCCTCTGAGTCTAGGCACAGCTGCTCCTGGACTACTGGCCATTGCCTTCCACCCTCATATAGTGCAGTGCAGCTTGCGGAAAACCTGCCTTGGCACCTGATAAGGATGTGGTACTCATACACCTAGTTAACGTGTCTGGGGCAGCAGTTACTAACGAGCACAACAATTTTTCACACGTTTATCCCCATCTTAAAGTTGTTTAATGAAGGGTACAACAGCACACCTTCAGGTTCGGCAGAGTTTTATGCTTTTGGGAGTGCAGTCCTAGATGAGATTCCCCCTTCCTTGTATGTCTCCTGTGTCCTTGATCATTGGCAACTCTATAGTAACAACAGCACGTGAAGAGGAAAAAATGGTGAAGAGGCAGATTTCAGTTTTAAGCTTAACAAGGATTCAGATATATTCCCTGGTGTCCTTTTCACTCCTACACCACTGCCACTTTTCCATGCTAACAACCATACAAATATTGTGGAGTAGATTTTTAGGCAGCCCACTGGCTGGAAAGTTACCACACCTTCCTTTTCTACACAGCTGTTCTGGACAATGAGACTCATTTATAGAAAGTCAAAAGTTCACTTATGCTTCTGCTGTCTGCAGCAGCATTGCATATTAGAAGCTCCATTATCTGTCATCCAGTAGACAGAATGATTTCATTTAAAAGCAACAGAGCAGGCAGTTTTTACATTATTTTAAAATTGCAATTTCGGTTGGCAATAATCTGTTTCTAACTCCGACTTCTGTCCTGGAGAATGGGAAAATCACTCTAGTCATCCAATCTACCTTTTTTGAATTAGAAGAATTATTCCCTATCTCTAACTCTCAGTACTGGGAATAAGGGGGTGGGGGTAGGGTTTTAAAAAACAGGGAGTGACCATGGTGCTTTCTAATAGCACTTATTGTGCACTGGGTCAAGTCACTGTTTGGAATCTAGGGATATTAAATATCGGTTAACTGAACAGTCGAGTAACCTCATGAATTCTTACTGGTTAGTCGACTATTCTATAGTTCTCAGGGGCAGGGACAGCAACTAGTGCTTTCCAGCCTCACTCCAGAGGAGCCCCCTTCCAGCCTTGCACGGCTGTCTCTGTATGGTTTAAAAACTAGCTCCCCTCATGAACTGACTGCCTGTCACCCTGTGCTGCTGATACAGAGGCAGCAGTGAGGGGCAGCAGAGCCCCTGATGGGGGGGTGGGTGGGTGGGAGATGCAGTATGAGTCCCCCCCCCCAGACACAAGCTGGAACTGAGCCCAGGCTGCCCACCTGCCTGGCTCCTAATACCCTTTAAATACAAAACTACAGCGGAGATAGGTCCCAGACCTGGCGCAAACCAGGACCGAGCCAGGCTGTCTGCCCACCCTCCCATGCAGCTCCTAATACACTTTAAATGCAGAGCTGCAACAGGGGTAGGTGCCAGACCTGTCACAAGCCAGGACTGAGCTGGGCTGCTGGCCAGCCTGCTAAAAAATTTACTGGGGGGAGGGGAGATGCATATAGTCTATAGCATTACCTATAAGCTTTTGCGTATCAGTTAATCGCCTACACTGTTGCATCCCTATTGGAATCCATCACCAGTTGTGGGCTTGGGGCAGTTTCAGTGGCAGAAACCACACACAACCTATGTTCTGTCATTTGGCACATGTCAAAAAGCAGACAAGGTGGCCTGAGGAGAGAGAAAGGGGTCAGTGGACCTGGAGTTCCAGGCTGGAGCTTTGGGTTGATCTCCCTGGTGGATAACTACTGCCTCTTCTTTCCTCTCACCCCACACCAGGGTGAGTTCTGCCCCTCTCTGAAACAGGAGAAACTCACTGAATAGATTAGAACCCACTGGTTTTGAATTTAAAGTATGGATTTTAGTATAGAACTGGTCACTCAGGAGAAGGAACAACAGAATGGGAACAATGGAATTTATGGGAAGAGTGAATAAATAATAAAGGACATTTATGGAGATCAACAGAGTGAAGCAGTTCTGTGCCATCACCGGGATTATTATTGAACAATCCAAGATGCAGTTTCTTTAGCTCCTGAAGCTAAGATGCAAAGAACCTCACATAACGCAACAGGAACCACCTATAGATATGGAGACTATTGTATTTTTCTATAGCTAGCCAGAATTGTTATTTAAATGGACTGCAACCTACACAATTGGGAGCTGTCAAGGAGAAGAGTTCCTCATGCTAGGACCAGATATTGAGAGAGCTTGACCCTTAACCCTTTGGGCTTAAGGGCAAAGACAACAAGCTTCAAAGTTCCTGCAGCAGCATCCAGAACTGTCACAACATAACAGCTGTTAACAGACATGGAACAGACCATAAAAGCTGCACTGCTTGTGGTTAATATACCGATTGCAGTTATTCCTGATTTACACCAGCATAAGAGGACAATAAAGTCAACAAATTTCAAAGGCCAAGTTACACAGAATGGATATTATCTTCAAAAAATCTCAAAAAAAGATGTGAATAGGTTATTTAACTAAACCACAAAATCAACTACTTCCACCCAAATTAACAGACCACTATCAATTAACTCCTAAAAATATTTTTGTATCTAAAATCTTACAAGTTGAGATCCATTTCAGAGTGAGAGCTCAGAGGAGCCATTGTTGCATTTATGGGTATGTCTACACTAGCCCCCTATATGGATCTAGGGAGCTAGTGTAGACATACCCTATGTTAACAAACATTGTTTTCTCTCTTCAGTTATACAAAACAGTAATAAAAGCAAAATCCCATGGTTCATATTATCTGACCTTAATTAATTTCACTTCAAGGTTTATGACTGACAGAGGATCATCAATGGCAATACCTGGTTTACAGTTACTAACTACAAACCCAATGCACCAGTAAATTGCCACAAGACTGGGGTGGCAGACAACAGTTTTACAATCATTGTTTAGCAGTTTCTTTGCCATGCAAATCCAGTGATCCCATGATAAAGGCAGGGATTTCAAATGCTGGATTTCACTTCAAGGTTTATGACTGACAGAGGATCATCAATGGCAATACCTGGTTTACAGTTACTAACTACAAACCCAATGCACCAGTAAATTGCCACAAGACTGGGGTGGCAGACAACAGTTTTACAATCATTGTTTAGCAGTTTCTTTGCCATGCAAATCCAGTGATCCCATGATAAAGGCAGGGATTTCAAATGCTGG